TTCTAGATGGGTAGTCATAAAGGGAATAGAGTCAATTTCATTACTGATAACTGGATTCCCAATATGCAACCCCTAAACTCAATCCTCCATGGGCCTTGGCACAACTCTGCATTGACCCTAAAGATAAGCTCCATAATCTACAATGGGGAATGGAACCCGGTGCTGTTCACTACCCCATTCCCATGGATATTATAAGTGATATCCACTCCACATTCATCCCTATTTCTAGCAACTCTAAAGATAAGATTATTTGGAACCTCAATGGAGATGGGCTTTTTAGCACTAAGTCAGCATACAACCTTATTAGTTCTGAGCTAAACCCCAGTAATGGCCAGGATGACTCTTTTGGCAAGATTTGAAAACTAAAAGTCCCTAATAAAATAAAAATGTTCACTTGGATGATGCAGCATAACAAGCTGCCAACCGCAAAGAACCTAAACAACATCGGCTTAAATGTAAGCCCCATATGCTATTTTTGCTCCTCTTGAGTGATGAGTGAATCAATGCAGAAACCTTCTGGCTATCTCTGTCACAGGAGTATAGAAACCTTGATTGTGACCCATACCTTGTGTTTTCAATAATTTATTGGGAACAAACATGACACAAGGTCAAGAACATACATTTCAATGCTTCTATTGACTGGAAAACTCTCATGCCTTTCTGTTTTTTAGAGCATTTGGCTAACTAGTAACAATAATGTCTTTGACTAAAAGAAAAACTTCGCCCCTATTACCCAGACCATTGCGAGAGCTACAGAGAACTATCATGTTGTTGTCCACCATAGGGATAAGAGGGAAAGCACTGCATTACACATTAAATGGGTGCCGCCACCTAATGGCTCCTATAAACTAAACACAGAGGGTGTTTCGATTGGCTTATTTTAAGTGCTTATTGGCTTTTAAGCACTTTTTTTAGTTTGTGTGGTGTTTGGCAATGATAAAAAATGCTTAAAAGCACTTACTTTTAGGCATAAAAAGTACAAAAATAAGCCAAAAGCCAAAGGCCAAAAGTTGAGTATTACCAACTTATGACTTTTTGGCTTTTTAGCTTAAAAGCTACTTTTTATAAGCCAATCCAAACACCCTCACAGATGAGGTTGCTCGCCATAAAACTAGTGTAGGAGGGGCTGGGGGTGTCTTCAGGAACAACATGGGTGACTGGGTGCTAGGATACATAAGGGGTTTACCACATACCACCAATATAGAGGCAGAACTTCATGCCCTCTAGCATGGTCCCAAAATAGCCCTTGACCACAACTTCAACCCTCTACAAATTTGCACTGATTCTGCATGCATGTTAAATGAGGGAAACCTCCACTATAACTCTAATATCTTTGAATGCAGATCACTGATGGAGCAATTGGGGAATCCAGCACTAGGACATAATTTCAGAGAGCTGAACTAGGTAGCGGACCTCCTCGCAAAGGAATGAGCTGCAAAAAAATATTTGGAAGGACATAAGTTTTGGCAGTTCCTCTGGTGTTTGTAAACAAGGCCCTATGGGCAGGCATCCTAGGAACTGTTTTTGTACATAATATTAGGGGTAATCCCATTGTAATGCAAAACTATCACAATGCAACTCTTAACTATGTTGTAACTGTTTTTGTGATATATATATATATATATATATATATATATATATATATATATATATATATATATATATATATATATATATATATATATATATNCTTGAATCCGTGGTAATTTGATGATTTTGGTGTTTATGATAGTGTTTTTATGTTACGAGAGAGTTCGAATGAAGTAATAGAACATATCTGTGCATTTGGTTGAGGTCCCGAGGGCCTCGGGGTAAATTAGGGTGGTTAAACGAGAGTTTTGAGGTGTAATTGCAGGTCAGATTTTTCTGTCATCTGGTGCTTCCGCTTCTGCGGAAATGGACCGCAGAAGCGGTACCGCAGAAGCGGGTACGTGGTCGCAGAAGCGGTCGTGGCCGGCTAGGGAAATTTCGCAGATGCGGAAGGTGGCTCGCACCAGCGGGTCCGCATAAGCGGACAAGGTGCCGCAGAAGTGGGTTTGAAGGAACCGCAGAAGCGGACTTCGCGTCGCATAAGCGAAGTCCGGGATTCTAAGTGAAAACCGCTTAAGCGGAAATGTGGCCGCAGAAGCGGTCCCGCATAAGCGAAAGCGGGACCGCAGAAGCGAAAATCGCTGGGCGACAGAAGGGTTTTAAAATAATATTTCATCCGCGACCCTTTCATATTTTTCCTCCATTGCTGACGTTCTTAAGAGCTTTGAATAAGGAAATTCGAGGGTTTTGACTGGAAATCACTTGGAGGTAAGTTCCTTGGCCTAAATATTCGAATTTATGGTAGAAATTACATGTAAATTGTAGAAAATTCATCAAAAACGGGTCAAGCTAGGGCTTGGAAAGTTGTGATGTAAAAATGGAATTTTGAGGGTCAAACGAGCTCCGATTTTGGTAAACTTTATATGCACGGACTCGTGGCGAGACGAGGNATATATATATATATATATATATATATATATATATATATATCCAGTTTTACCCAAAAAAGAAAAGATGTTGAACTGTGTGATTATCTTATCTAAAAGCTTAACCTGTTAAAAAATATAAAATTTTATATACTTATATGACTTTAACAAAAAATTAAATAAGATAAATTTTATATTATAGTAACAGGTTAAAATACACCAATATATAGTATAAAGTTCTTTTATATTGTTAGTTTATATATATTAAATTTATTTTATTACACATAAAAAAGGTGAGAAGGGTACATAAGCAAGCAGGAGTGGATGGTGTTAGGAGGGGGTGGGGGAAGGGGGGGGGGGG